CCAGCAGCTGGTGTCATTTTGAAGGAGAAAAGTCACAAACCAGAGACCTTATGGTGAGGGCATTAAGAGAGCCATTATTATACCCACTAAGCATTTGCAAGAACTCTCTCAGACTGAGAGAATAGGAAACATTTCTTTTCTTGACAAACGGTACAGAGGTTATCAGGACACAGACACTTGTGTGGAGGGACGGGTGAAAAAACTATCAAAATACCTCGGCTTCCTGAATCAGTGGACAGACCCTGATTCTTTCTCTCTCTCCACTATCTATTTCTCTTCCCATTAATCTCAATGGGGAAAAGTGTCGATGTGTCGTAATGAGGCCATTAGCAAACAATCTGCTGGATCTTAGATTTTCTCTCTCTTCCCCCTTTTACTGGGTAACTGCTGCTTTCACTGGTTCACTGTGAGCCTTTCTGTTCAGTCTACAAAAACTGCACTAGTTTTTAGAGCTCTCTGAAAACTGTCCTCAATATATTAGCTAAGATGCCACAAGAATAGTCCTTGGCCATGGTAAGATTAGACAGGCATGAATCTCCTTTGATTTTTCTGGTGCAGCATTCCAGGTGGATACACAGTATAAGATGGAGAGATGTCAGAATCCACGCATGCATTTATTCAGCTTAAATTAATGGTAGTGATGGCAAACCTTTTAAAGATGGAGTGTCCAAAACAGGGGGAGGTTGGGCACTGGGGAGGGGGTGAGCCCGGGGATGGGCAAGTGGATGGTGGGTTGAGCAAGGGGGGGTAAGCGAGTGAGAAGTGAGTGAGCAAAGAGATTGGACAAACGGTTGAGTGAGCGGGAGTAGGATGGTGAGGGGGTGGTGACAGGTGATGACGTAGATGCCAGAAAATAGGATGCTGCATGCTCCTTCTGGCACACATGCCATAGGTTTGCCACCACTGGTCTATGATTTGAATGTGCTTGTTGACTATATAGGAATGTGCATGAGCACAACAATATCCCTGAATGTGAAATAATAAAACAAACCCTCAAGATTTCTGAGAACCTTAAATGTCTTTGAAACAAGAATTCTAGCCCGGTTATTGAATGCAAACTTGTTGGTTCAGGCTAACTTCTCAGTCCTTAAACCAGGATATTTCTGAATTTGGGGAGACAGATGAATAAGGGTGAATAATCCAACTTTATGAAATACAATTTATGCAATATATTACAGGCAAATAAGGATTGTGTTTGCAAGTTCATACAGTCTATTTCAGATAATGGAGAAGTGCACAAGGAGAATTTTCTAGACAGTTTCTCCTTACTGAAGCTTTGAAGACCTGTGTCCTGTTCTGTGCAAACAGCTACTTGGACATGGCCTCTGCTCAGATGTCTGATTGGAGTAATCCATTCTGTTCTGTTTTCAGTTAGCTCATTGCTGGATCCTGTATTTTCTAATAGACATTATTTCTCTGTTGGGTGCACTTTAGCTGAGCTGTGTTCTGAAACCTGCTTGGATCCTGACACTGGCAAGGATACCTAGCTAAGGAAGATATGATGCAGCAATGCTATTCTGGCTGCTGATTTTACTTCAAGAAGGCAACAGATGTAGCTTGCATCCAGATATTTAGTATTCCCAGTTCACACCTTTAGTATTCCCACCCCAGCCCTTTCGGCTTCTAAATGCCTTTATCAACCTCTTTGTTTAGATCCTGAGATTTATCAGCATCTTGTTAAATATATGTTCTCCAAACAGCTCCTTTTAACTGGTGAGTAAACATCCAGCAGTCTTGTTTCAAGCCCCTCAATTTCAGAGCCTCTCTGTTTTTGAGTTTCATGGATGCACTTTTAACACCGCTTAGCTCCTTGATTTAAAGCTAAATAGAGTTATGATGGCAGGGTATGAGTCACATCTTTTGATAGCAACGCATATAGTTAGTAGTACAGATTAGATTTATTTGCTCGGTTTTCTCTTGCCAGCTTTCCTTTCCTTACCAATTTGCTTCATTAACTCTTCATCGCTGTAGGTCAAGTCTTTTGCAGAAACTATGTCTGGAGGGGAAAATCTCATTTACATCTTTGATATATTTTCTTGTACTTTTATTAGATTTGTGAATAGACTCTGAGCTTATTGAGGTTTTTTTCCAAGAAGGCAGCTGCCTTTGGGCACAGTCCCAAAATTGGTACCAAAAGGGTCACTCTAAAGTCCTGGGTCAGCAACATGTTACTATGAAAGATTATACTGAAAAGCCCATACCAGACTGGACATATTCTTAGAAGTAGGAGAACCATGCTAAATCACCTAATCCATCCTGTTTCTGACTTTAGCATTTCACTATCAAGAGCAAAACATTAAGGCAGTGTGCCCCTTGTTTAAAAGCTTTTTGGAATTGTGGTCAGTCGTGGTTAATAGTGCTCATTTAAGGTGCAGAATCTGCTCTGTGTTATAGAAGCAAACAAAGGCACTGAACCTACTTTGGTAGTAAGGTTCAGCACTTTGGAGAGTTCCTTCAAAATACAGACTAACTACTTCATCACACTAGAGAATGATTCTACTTTAAATCCAGTTTCTGCCTCCTGCAGAATTCTGGGGTTTGTAGTTTAGGGAGGGGCCTTTAAGAACCTCACTAAACTACAAAGCTCAGAATTCTGCAGGAGGCAACAATTTGATTTAAAGTGGATTCATTCTCTAGCGCGTCTAAGGCAGTGGTTCTCAATCTGTGGGTCCTCAGATGTTTTGGCCTTCAACTCCCAGAAATCTTAATAGCTGGTAAACTGGCTGGGGTTTCTGGAAGTTGTAGGCCAAAATACCTAGGGACCCACAGGTTGAGAACCACTGATCTAAGATGATTAACCATGCTACTGAAACCAATCACTGTGTGTGGTTATTCTTTAAAACAAGGTACATACTCCCTGCAGAACTCGTTTTCAAAGAAAATTGTGTCTTTTCACATTAGCACTGCCTTGCCACCAACTCTTAATGGTAACGTGACTAACTGAATGTGGGCAGCCATCACAAAACAGGCAGGAACAAAATGTGGTCCACATAGTACTTGCTCTTGTAATATGAAGCAGTAGGTTGATGTTACAATTCCTATCTCTTCAACTGGATCATTCAGGTTTAGTCTGTGAGAGGTAAAAACTCAGGATTCATAATAGCCAGCCTTGGATACTATACACCTATGTGCCTAGGCCTGTCTGGGTATGCACCAATCATTTCAGGGATCAAAATGTCTTTGACTAGCTCTGCTTTGACTTGAGAGATGTGGAATACTATCTGACGGCAACACAAGTGAGAAAAATTTGGCCTAGAGATGCCAAATCCTGGTCTCCTAAGCAGCATGTCGCTCTTGACAAACAAAAAGCAAAGAAGACCGATAATACTCAATAGATGTGATTTAGAAAAGCGTCTCTAGGTGTTCACTAAAGAAAATATTTCATTTTTAAAAAATACTGCAATGCATGAGCAATTGCCAGGCATATGGTTTGGAGATACTTTTTTAGGGATCCCTGCATGTTGATTCTAAAGTTGTATTCCCCTGAAGAAGGTCACAAAAATATTTCTAGGCTGGAATGCATTGGGCTATTTTCAAGAATAAAATCATTTCTTTTTTGTAACACCCTGACATTTGGTCCCTTTCCTATAATGTGTTTTTAAAAAACGACCTTTAAAACTTCTAAAATGGATTTCTGACTGCAACTGTTTCTGTGATCATCTGCAATGGCTTAGATAGGGCTCCTGTTTCTAAGCACTCTGGTGATATCTCCTCCAGCTCTCCTCTAGCTTCTTTTGAAAATCCATTTCATCACGTAATACTTGAGATGCTCAGGACACTGCGGTAGTTTTCCCTTATCAATCCAGAAAGGATTATGGCTGAGGATACCAAGTACATCTGTCATTTATTTGGCAGCACTAAGTTTTTTGCACATGAGACACAGGCAACCGTCAGACTCTCGGGCTGAGTGAGGAGGCCTTCCGTATAACTACTGGCTGTTCTCTGGTTTTGCATATGGTAAACGTCTTCCTTATCTGGGATGGGACTGTAGTGAGTAAGTTCCTGCTGTTCAGTGCAATGGATGAACTTGTGTCTGGAGGATTTCTGGAAGCGCATCCTTCCCTCATTTATATCTGTTGTGCAAATTCAACACACACACACACACAGCATCTAGCTGACAGATCCCACTTGTTTCCCAGATGAAATCAAAGTATGTTTACATATGTACTTCTATGTATATTCATATTGCTCAGGAAAAGAAGTATGGGGTAGTAGGAGGGGGATTAAATCTCAGAAAAGTTACTTTTACGAACTGTAACTCTCAGAATCCCTTGGCCATCAGATCAAAGAATTCTAGGAATAGTCAACCAAATAACTCTTCTATCCTTTGACTGAAACAGGCTTTGACCTGATCCACCAGGGTTCTTCTTAGGTTATTGAGATACAAAGTAAACATTTTTAGGGACCCCATTATATATATTTTTAAAAAATTAACTATTGTGCAACATTTAATATATTTTATAGTGTGATAATGTACACATGAGACAGTGTAGAGTTATCAGGCACTTACTATCAGTTTCAACTAGAGTAGTCTCAGTAAATTGGATTTATGTATGTGTTGACCTCCAAAGGACACCCATGAATTTCAGGAATGATGTAATTATTTCATGTCTTGTGACGGAAATAGCATGGTAGGGTGGTTTCAGTGTTGACTGTGACTCTGGAGAACTATGCTTTTAGAACTGTGTAAAAATATTAGAGATTACGCCAGTTTCTGTATTTGTGCAGAGTATGTGTCTTTTTCTCAGAACTTGGAAAAGTTAGGTTTTGGTCTGCACCGGTGGTCAGGACAGCTAGGTCCTTATAGGAGAGTAACTTTTCCAAGCTGTACTTTCACTCTCTTTCTCTCCCCGACTTCAAGTGACAGTATTCAGACCTGGGGAATCAACCAAATTACATGTTGCTTTCTTTAGAACACACCATTTTGGGAATCCTGTTTTGTAGGAGGTGGAAGACCTTTTAGTATGAGAAAAGACAGACATATGAGCACACACATGTACCTGCTCTTTGATCTCCTCCAGTCCCAAAGTGGCAATACTGCCTGAAGGCTTCTTTAGAGGAGGTTTGGAGCGCCGTAAGCCATGGGCTACTTTGTCACGGATCACCTGAAGCATAGCAAGAGGCAGGGAGAAGAATAGCAGTATGAGGTTACATTTTTTTGGTAGTGATTTGTGACATAATCAAAAATCCATAGGGATGGGGAATATGCAGTCCTCCAGATATTGCCACACTCCATCGTTATCTCACCAATCCAGACTATTGGTCATGCTAGCTGGGGCTGATGGATAGTGGTGTCTAACAAAATCTGGAAGGCCTGTGCCAAGGGAAGGTAGTTTTGCTTGGGGCAGAATGGAGAGGTGGTCAGCTACCTGGAAGGCGACAAGTTTGTATTTAATGTAGGAGTGGACATCTAATGGCCACCTGTTTTGTAATTCACAAACCCTCCATCCCCATCCCTAAAAAAATTATTTGCACAAAAAGTGCAGGAGTGTTCTCTTGGAAGTGTCCAAGCAATGTATGGTAATTAAACTTCACATTACATTGTGTGTTTTCTGCCCCATACCTTGGGTTTGTCTTGTTAATGTGATTTTGTGTGGACTTCTAACCCAGTTCCCGTTATATTGAGAGAAAGTGGTTCAGCCAATTCTGAGTCCAGGAAGTCAGGGTCAAAAATTGCCCATGATTTCTGGTTGGTTGAGGGGCATAGGCTTCCCAGGTTATTCTGGCATGTCATGCAGAACATTCTACAAGCACCTTCTCCCCATCTCCAATACCTACCAGTAACCATTCAATAAGAACAAATGCCCTTTGATAAGACCCAATGTCTGCCAGCCAAGGTGGCTGTCTTAATCTGCCCAATGGCAGGACTGTTCCTACTCACTTCATAGATGTAATCAAGGATTTCCAAGACAGTTAGAACACTGGCTCCGATAAAGAGGCCCATTTGACCTCCGATGTCCCCTAGTAGAGAAGAAGGCAGAGCAGAAAAGACAGAGTTGGCAATAATGCAACTATTTGGGAGGACTTTGCAGTGGAGAGAGTCCAAGTGGCACTGTGTTGGAAATTATGGGAAGCAGATTAAGAGAGGAAGTGACTGAATGGACTGTTTGAGGGTAGAGCTTTGAAATATTACTTTTTTGACTAGGGATAATTGGCTTGGAGAATCTGGGGTTAATGATTAGGGCATTCTGAAAGTTGAAATGGTGGTGGTGGGGGGAGGGTCACTTTTCCAAGCCCTGTTCTCAGGAATCACACATTATCCATTTCTCTTATTCTTTTCTATAGATGTGAGAATTGGGAGCTTTTTCATGTCCCAGCCTGAAAGATGATTTCAGGGTGATTTGAATGCAATATTCCTGCTTCTTGGCAGGGGTTTGGACTGGATGGCCCATGAGGTCTCTTCCAACTCTTTGATTCTATGATTCTATGATTAAGTGGTCTAACTGGGGCAGAAGGAGAAAGCAAATCAGGCACATATGCATAATGGATGTTGCAGAGGTACCACTGTGCAGCTTGTGGAACCAACAGTGAGGCACCAGGGCTCCTGCATTGTGGGATGTCCTATGGAAAACTCTAGAATCCAAGCCAGGTGCAATGGCTTGTTAAAAGAGGGAGCTGTTGAACTTGCTTCCTCTTCCTCCTTGCTGCGTTGATGGATCACCAGAAATGAATGCCAGAAGGCACCAGTGCAAGTACCTAGTAATAGAAGGAACCACTTACTGCTGTAAAGCAGGGCAAAGAACTGCAGGCCTGCAGAAGGTGCAGAGCTGCAACTCCAAGCTTCACCATTTACTATACTGTTTGGAGCTAATGGGAACTGCAGTCCAACCACATCTGGAGTGCAATACATTGCTAAGCCCAGTTATAACATTTTGGAGTTGGGTTTGGAATTGCCTCTTAGTCAAGCAACCAAAATCTTCAGATAAGATCACAACTCTCTCAGACTATACTTGACAGTTTACGTGCTTAATGGTCTTTCTATATACTCATTCTTCTTTCTCACTCTGCTTCCAAAACATCAATCCTAACACAAGGCTGATGTTACATAGAGGGTTACGTGTGTGTATTCACTCACCCAGAAGGCCAGCCAAGTTGTATGCCTTCTTCTGCTCAATCGATTCATAGTTCAGTGCCTCAAAGAAGATGTCCAGCACCAAGAAATTGTCCCTGAAGGCATTCAGAGACATAAGAGGTAGATGAGAAAGAGAGAAAGGATTTGTAGTCTTGAGATTTCCTACATAGCCACACCAAAGTCCCTTACAGTCTGGTGTCCACTAATTGGCCTTGGCTATAAATGGGACCATGGTTTTATCAGCAACTAGTCACTCACCGAATGTAGGTCTCATTGCGGTTGTACTTGCGAGCCAAGTACCGGGCTGATCCCTTGTTGGGAATGCGCACCATAGATATCTCCTTGCCATAACGTGTCATGTTGCACGGTGTTGGACAGACACAGCGGTCCTGGGAATCTTCCACAGCTGTATCTGTGAGTGTGATGGCACATACGAGGGTTGATAAAGATGCTTTGGAATAATCACATTGGGATTCATCACACTTGAGCATTTATCCACTTCAGTTCACTTTAAATGCTGTGACTGCCTCCTGCAGAATTCTGGGGTTTGTAGTTTAGGATGGGACCTTTACACTGCTCATCCAGAGAAGCTCTGGGCCTCCCTATACTACAAACACCAGAATTCTGCAGGAGGAAGTCACAGTATTTAATGCGGATTAAAGTGGATAAATATTCATCTTAAAACAGACAGGGGAGCGTGTCTTTGTTGGTGTTTTTAGACCTCTCAGCGACCTTTGATACCATTGACCATGTATCCTTCTGGAATTCCTGGAGGGATTAGGGATCAGAAACACTGTGTTGCAGTAGTTCTGGCTGTACCTCTCAAGCAGATTCCAGATTATAGTGCTTGGGAATAGCTGGCACTCAAAAAAGGAGCTGTTATGTGGTATCTCACAAGGTACCATTCTATATGAAGCTGTTGGGCTAGATCATCCATAGGTATGGGGTGGGGTGTTATCAATATGCTGATGACACCCAAATATATTTCTCAATGCCTTCAAAAACAGCCTCAGCTAAAGATAGTGTGTCTCCTCTGAATGAATGCCTGGAGGAGGTAATGGACAGGATGAGGAAAAATAAACTGAAACTGAATCCAGACAAAACAGAGCTGCTTGCCATCAAGGGCCCTAATCTGGGGGTGGAGGTGTGTCAATCAGTTCTGGATGGGATTACACTCCCCCTGAAAGACTATGTTCGTAGCTTGGGAGTACTCCTGGATCTGTCTCTCCAAATGTCAGCCTGGGTAGATGTGACGGTCAGGAGTGCTTACTATTAGCTTTGGCTGATCTACCCGCTGTGTCCCTTCCTAGATTTGGAGGACCTTGAGATGGTAGTACATGCACTGATAACCTCAAGGTTGGACTTCTGCAGTGTGCTTTACATTGGGCTACCTTTGTACCAAGTTTGGAAACTCCAGTTGGTTCAAGATACGGCAGCCAGATTGGTTATGGGAACAACCAGGAGTGAACATATCACACCTATCTTAAAGTCACATTACTGGCTGTCAATTAGTTTCTGGGCAAAGTACAAAGTGTTGGTTTTGACCTTTAAAGCCCTACATGGTTTGGGTCCAGGTTACCTACAGGATCGTCTTCTCCTGTACAACACACTGAAGTCCTCTGAGGGGCATCTGCTCCAGCCTGCCAGAACCCAACTGGCAACCACCACCCAGAGGACCTTTTCATCAGATGCCTCACAACTGTGGGACAACCTGCCATTAGAGCTCCGTCAGCTAGATCAGCTGTTGGAATTTAATGTGAAGACCTGTCTCTTCCAGCAAGCCTACCCAGACAGATTTAATCATGAATGTTAAGCTTCAATTCTATGTCTAATTTTTGTTTTGTGTGTTTTAATATGTCTTGTATGGAAATATGTTTTAATGTGTGTATTTTACAGAATGTTTATAAATGATTATGTGTTTAGAGATTGTGTGCTTTAGCAATGGTGTAACCCGCCTCAAGCTGTGAGGAGAGATGGGTAAGAAATAAAACCATCATCATCATCATCATCATTATTTGATAGACAACAAGATTAGTATACAGCAAACAAGACCACTATGCTGGCTTTTGTATTCAATCACACATATCGGACACATCCCAAGTGTCTAGGACTGTGTGATGTATCAGCGGATAATGCATGCAGATCCAAGTAGGGTGGCCTTTGCAGCTGACAGATGGTCATTTTGTCAGTGCCAATTGCTTTTTAAGTGCAGGCGAAGGTCTTTAGGCACTGTACCCAGTGTGCCGATCACCACTGGGACCACCTTTACTGGCTTGTGTCAGAGTCTTTTGAATAGCTTGCTTGTGTGGGGAGGAATTTTAGTACCTGGGCACATACAGTGGGCCTCAAGCAAGGAACACCTCCTCCCACCTCATCTGACTGGCATGCGGGGCAATGGGGAGGCAGGAGGTGAAATCATATTGTAGGGAGAGAAGTTTTAACTTCTCTTCTTTATGTGCTGTCATAGTAAAATGGGAAGAAAAGAATAGGAAAAAAACTGTATGAACGTATCTGCCTGCACGGAGGTCAAAGTTTCACACATCTCATATTCATATCCTTCCAGCAATGCAGGTCTATGAAGATGAGTTCAATTTTTAAAAGTATTTCCACTCTTTTACCCTGTCTTTTTTCAAATTCTTTAATATCATTTTAGACTTTTAAAACCATTTTAATGATTCTTGGTGTTTTAAATTTCTCAGATTGGTGTTTTTGTATGCTGCCCTGAGATCTCTGGATAGAGGGCACACATCCGTGCATTAATATACTTTTCCTCATTCACAGTCATTACCATTCCTCCTCCCTCTCCCTCTTTTCTTCCTTCTCACATACCTTTCCACCCTACTACTACTAATATTTTTTATTGATTAGCCCGCAGACCATATCAGCATACCAAACTAAACAACAAAGCTTGATACAACTTAATAAAACTCTATGTAGTAAGTTAAATAAGACACTTATAATAATACAATAAATAAGTATGATACAACTGAATATATACATCATATTTCCCTATGCCCCCTAGAATTTTCCCCAATCAGCCCCACATATGTGGATCTCAGACAGATTGCTTTGCTTAAATATAGAACTGTTTTATATGTTATTTTTGACAACACATAAAATATGTTGTTCTGGTGTGAGTTTCCCAATAAATTGTCTGTTTGATATATGGACCAAGATACAAGTCTCTCACTTTCTGATACAATTTACAATAAAATAATATGCTATATCCTCAGTTTCAGGTGCTCCACATATACAAATCTGTTCATTATAAGGGATGCTATTAAACTTCCTGTATCTGACCATTGTATCAAGCTGATCAAATCTAGTTCAAGTGAATACCTCCCTAAAGTGTTTTGGCATTTGAATTTTTAGATAGTTGGCAATTTGAAAGGCGTGTTTATATTGACTCAGCCATTTTAGGTTAGCAACCTTGCTGAGGATGGCTATATCTTTTTGTGCTTCTAGATTCAAAATTCTTTGTATAGCATTCTTTTTTACTTGGTCTCTTAAAGTGCAGGAGACAGGGAGACCACAGCTTCTTATATAATTTGTCATTTGTGTAATCCAAGTGGTCTGTAGTTGGGATTTTATCTGTTCTAATCGACACAATTTTGGGAGTCTATTGAGCTACATTACATTAATTTTACAGCAGTAATTATATGTTCTGAGTTTAGACTGTGCATAGATTGTGTAAATTTCCAATTTGGCTCTCAGTGCATCAGCTAAAATCCTTTTATCTACTCCCAGTATGTTTCTCAAGTGCTGAGATTGTGCTTGTTCTATTACTGAGATGGAACTTAAGCCCCATACTTCTGCTGCATATAAAAGCATAGCTGTAAACTTAGCTTTATATACTTTAATTATTGGGATTAAGGTACCTGGGTGGTTTTGTGTTTTTAATTTAAGTATTAAATTCAGGCAACCTTTGCTCTGAACAAGCTCCTTTAATGAGGAAATGTCCAAGAACCACTCTCGGAGAAAGTTACTCCAAGATAAGGGAAGGCATTCACTTGTTCTATAATATCACTGTCTAATTGCCATTTATGTCTCTGCTGTCTTTTTCCAGATACCATTATTAGATTTGTTGATGATGAGAGAGCTATCCTGGCAATATGAGCTAACTCTTCTTAACAACCTACGAAGCCCAACTTGCGAATATGATAGTAATATCATATCATCAGCATATAGCAAAGTGTTACAGTATGTATTTAGGACTTTAGGCATATGAGCTACAGGGGCCTTCATTACACCTTCATTACTATCAGGTCACTGATATAAAGATTAAATAATATTGGAGCTAAAATGCACCCTTGTCTTACCCCTTAATATGTACCTTTCCAGTCAATAACTCCCACTCTCCTCATCTCTCCCTCCATATTTTCCAGTCCATCCATTCACACATACACATTCTCTTTTGCATATATACACACACACTGATGAACTGATTTCGCTATTGGATATCATAGGGTCATAGTCCCCGTGCAGTGGGCTTTCCTTGCCCCATGACTTTCCATGTGTTGACTGAAGGCCAGAAACAAACAGTTGATTGGTGACTATATCTCCTTGCTTGAATTTTAAACATTCCAAGTATCTAGCTGCTCCTACAAAGTCCTAAGAGCTCCTCTTGGGTTTTAAACAACGTGAGATTTTAAAAATTAAAAACTATAAGCAACAGTCTTTGAGTTGCAGGCTTCAACATTGCACCAAAATACATGAACGTTGGCAGTAGTCAGGCTTCCAGGAAGACAGCATTGCACATCTGGGGTGCCACTGATGAGGTAGGCCCTTCTTATGTCCCAACACTAACATCCCATGAAGGAGCCCCTCCCAGTAGATCTTTATCCATTGACAGGCACATATAGGGAGAGGCAATTTTTCATGTATCAAGGTTCCAAATTGTTTGGGGCCTTAAATGTTATCACAAGGACCTTGCATTCATATTGGAAATGTCTTGACAAGAAGAGCAATTCCTTTAAGACTAGTATTACATGCTGTCTAGATGATTTTCCAGTCATTAGTCAAACTGCTGTTTTATTGGTACTCCAAGTCTTCTCTATCCTAGGGCCATCATTTCACTACATGGCACCTTGAGAACTACTTACCTAGTGTGTGGTCAGCACATTCAATGTAGACATTGGGTGAGCAGATGGTTTCATTACCTGATACAGAATGAGACAGTTAGTGAGTGATCTAATTATATCCTCGTCATCCAAATGAGTGCACAGACAGTGGATGGTAAAGAGAGAGAAGGATGCAATTGTTGGCAATTCCCTAGGATTACAGATAGAAAGGCTTTTATTTTCTATGCTGACCACTGAGGCTCAGCTGGAAAAAGTGAATAGTGAGGGTATCTTGGGAACCTACAACTCATGTCACTGCTGGCTGGAGGGCAATCATTTCATAAGAAAAGAAAAGCCAAACCTTAAGGATTTCAATTAGCACCATGGGGCAGATCTAAATCTGGGCATGTTTAGGGTAGATCCAATGACATTGGTAGGACTTTCAGTCAACACTGATATATGTTGTGTTGATTTCAACAGATGTCAGCTATGGTGATGTAGTGGTTTAGGCAGTATATAACTACTCTGAGAACAGGGTTTGAATTCCCATGGACACCTATTCTGCAACCTCTGGCAAGTCACACTCTCAGGCTCAGAGGAAGACAATGAGAAACCTCTTCTAAACAAATCTTGCCAGGAAAATTTTGTGATAGGGTTACCTGAGTTCAGAAAATATTTTAGGGCCCACAAAACAACAAAGCTATAGAGGATGATGGTGGAATCAACTCAATGAAAGGAATGTCAAACATTTCATTGGCTCAGAGTCTGATGTGATATGCAGGTGGGCTGGCAAGCATTTTTCCTCTGAGCTGAGGAGTTGAATCAGCTTAGAGAGAACAATACATAGGGGTACCAAAAAGACATAAAATGCTGCTTTTGTCAGTTAAATTCCAGTTCATTTGATGCAGGTAGAGATATACTTCAGTTCACAAATCAAATGTGTTTTTGGACATTACTTATTAATCAGTAAATTTAATAATGGAGGCAGAAATAACATTGAAAGAATAGGGAAAGGTTCCTATGCTACAAATCCAGTTCAATATGTTTCAGCAAACATTTTTTTAAAAAAACTAACAATATGGACACGTGAAATGAAATCAATAGGTCAGACAAGTCTCACATAAGTAAAAAATTCAAACTTTTAGAGACCATTTAAAGGCTTCTTCCAAAATACATCCAGAGATTATTTTCTTTTACCAGCCTCCACTTTTAATATAATTTCCATTTTGGTAGTCAAACCTATAGATTTATGTTTTTTATTTAACAAGCTTCAGAGAGCTGGTAAGGTAGGCTTATCTGCTCCTCCCTTTTCTCTCTGTTTGGTTCTGTTTGTGCATGCTCAGCATGGGATTCCGATGTCTGCTATTTACCTTGTTTGTTGCAAACAGTAGGCAGGGCTACAGTATGTTCAATTACTGTAAAATCCTACGCTTTTCCAGTTCAACCTTTTGTCTGTTGCATTATTTTTTGCAGGCATACTTCTGCAATGCAATAGCAGAAGTCTGTGTTTCTCCAGAAATATGGAGAAGGGGGCTGGGGGCACGAAAGGCCTTTGTAAAGGGGAAATTCACTATCAGAGGCTTTGTTAATTAAGGTGCGGCTGTACTGGGAAAATCTGAGATGACTCTGAGGAATAGGAAGATGGGGGTAGACTGGGTGAGAGGGCAACCAGTCCTACATATTTGAGGGTCTCAGATAACAGACGGAGAACACAGAAATGGTAACAGTAACACTAACCTGTTGTTGTTAAATTGCCAGCAAGATCTGATATTATGAAAATACAGAATGGCTTCTATTTGTTTACTTCGCTATTTGGCTCATTAAACTATTTTTAAAAAATCCTTTTTAATTATTGAAAAATGGCCAGTTGTAAATTAAAGTAACGTGTGGGGAAAGTATTTCCTAATCAAAACAGTACATTTTATATTTGTTGTTGGAAATTTTAAGGAGTAAGGAATAACAAATTATGCTTAACCAATTATTTTCACTCCCTGGAGGAGACACTGTGTGATTATTATTTTTCTAAGGTGCCCAAATGCCTGCCAGTAGTCACTATGGAGACAAGGAAGGTTACGTGTCTGGAGCAAAGTAGAGTCACAATGACCTGTGACTTATGAAAAAAGCAACATTTTCTACAACAACTGATGACAATACTTTGATTCCTTCAAAACACTGGACTCAACAGCGTATAAAGGTCAAAGACCAGGTAGATGTAAAGCAGCATCCCTCAACCTGAAGCCTTTGAGATCATTTCAACTTGATAAGGATGATGGGTTATATAGCAAGCAGCACATCTGGAGGATGCCAATTTAGAGAAAGTTGGGATACAGAGTACAAATGCTTGCTGACTCCAAGGCTGCCTTTGCTCCCATGCCTTTGATATCAATATGACAAAGAAACATTTATCAGAGGAAGATTTTCCTGGAAAAGGAATGAGTGCTGGGAAAAGCTTTGCCATTTTAACAGCTCAGTGTAGATTGTTCCATTCAAGGACAGGGGAAGAAAAAAACTCCTTAGGTTATAAGGCAAAATGCATTTTTCTAGCCTATACATTAGGAAGCTTTCGTGGCAGAAGGCAAGGGGACCTGCATGGGGCTCAGAGACCAGGAAAGGTTGCCTTACCTGGCATATGCACCATGCGGCACTGGCAGTTACGCACCACAGCCTCCTTCTCGCATTGCAGTCTGCAAGCAGCGATGCTGTAGCTCTCATAGCCAGGAAGGACCTGTTCCCCCTTCACGCTGGCCCGGCAGCTCCCCCATGGCTGTGGCAGGTACGTCAGCTGCAGGAAAAAGGATGCAGGCTAAGGGGCAAGACAAACCAGCATACTGGCGAATTGGTGATCAGGATTACCCCATGAAACTCTGGGCAGAATATGGGGAAGATACCATATATACTAGAGTATAAGCTGACCCGAATATAAGCCGAAGCACCTCATTTTACCACAAAAACTGGGAAAACTTATTGACTCAAGTATAAGCCTAGGGTGGGAAATGCAGCAGCTGCTGGTAAATTTCAAAATAAAAAATAGATACCAATAACATTACATAAATTGAGGCATACAGCCTTCTTCTCTCCTCTTGACACAGCAACCCAGCTAGGTTGCTGTGCCAAGAGGAGAGGCCGCATACCTTCCTCTCCACCTCTCTCGCCCAGAGATCCAGTTGGGTTGCTGTACTGAAAGGGGAGGATGTATGCAGCTGGTAGAACCTATGGAAAGGGGTTCTTTCAGCCCCACATCTTCTCACCAGGATCCTCACTCGAGTATAAGCCGAGGGGGTCTTTTTCAGCATAAAAATGTGTTGGAAAAACTAGGCTTATACAAGAATATATACAGTACATTTTTGGATCATGCCACATGAGAATGGATGGATTGGTGCTGGAGGTCAGACTCTAAATCAAGTCTGCGCAGCCTATGGCTTTCCAGGTGTTTAAGACTTCTGCTCCCAGATTTTTTGACCATTGGACAAGTTGGTTAAGGCTTTTGGGAATTGGAGACCCAAACACCTGGAGAGCCACAGTTTGTGCAAGTCTGTTCTAAACGAACTTAGTATGGCCAAAGACCCAGTTATCTGAAGGACTGTATTCTTCCATAGCTTGAGATCTTCAAGGGAGACTTTTTATCAATTCCGATATCCTAATAGGATAGGGTCTTCAATGGCTTCTCCCAGGCTGAGAAACTCCCTTCTTAGGGACATAAAGATGCCCCCTTCTATCTGTCCTTTCGTCAGGAGGTTCCATTCAAGGAGAAGGGCAGAAAGAGACATAGCATTTGTTCTAAGAGTACAGGGCTTTTCTATTCCAACAAGCTTTTGGGAACTGACTGTTTATGAAGAAGGGGGATGATGATGAAGTTTAAAGTTTAAGGCAGTCCAATAATAAACATTACACATTCTAAAATATGTGATACTACACAACACAAATATGAAGGAGTGATAGTTTGTTGTACTATTTTATTGTTAACATTTTTAACAATTTTTTCTCGATTTTGTAGATGGTTTCTATATATCCTAATTATATTTTCCTATACACTGGCTGTCCCCAAGTTACAAACAAGATAGATTTTGTAGGTTTGTTTTTAAGCCGAATTTGTATGCAAGTTGGAAAAGGAACATTTTGTAAATGTATATATTCACTTCAGATATCATAGGGAAGGGTTAATACCCCTGTGGTGTTTGTTTTTCTGTCTGTGCCCCTGTTCAGAAGATTTCACTTCACTTTCTGTCCCTCTGATAAAAATCTGGCTTGTGGTGGAAATAAGGATGGGAGAAAAAGCTTCAGTGGAGACCCTGTTTCCCCATGAAAATTCTTTCAGGGGTGCATTTTCCTTCCTGTTGTTTCACCGTGTTCTTAACTATGCATCATTTGTAAGTCAAATGTTTGTAACTTGGAGGCTGCCTGCATTTGGGTTTTCTCTCTATATTTTTTCTAATTTCCAATAGTTTCTAGTTTTACTAATCTAGCATGATTTCCAGTTTTGTAAAGAAAGTGAGCCATATACAAATAGAATAAGAGTTTTCTGAGCCCCAGCTCTTGGGCAAGTCCTGTAGCTCCTGAGAAATCCCATCTTCCAGCCAAGCTATATCCAATCCACCCTTCCCTTCCCAAAAAGCCCTGCTGTAAAATAATCCTCATGGTGCCTGTTTGTTGCTCCCATCAGTGTGGAAATTCAATCCCTCGCCTCAGGCACCATCTGTGAACTTCATATTAAGGCTGGAAAGAAATATAGTTACATCCGAGTTTTACCAATTTGCTTGACATTTCAGAGTCAAGTATGCACATTTTATTATACTTTCAGTATGGATTTATGAAATGAGTCTGTGTTTTTGTTCCACCCTGAAATAGGGTAGCTCTTCATAGAGAGCCAGCGGGGTGGCTAAAAGTCTGTTTGGGAAGCCTCTCGCTGAAATCTTGTTATCAGTCTCTTTCAATAGTCAAAGGTGAGTACATATTCTCATAGCCTCATTCAGAGCTTGAAAAGGGTTACTTTCATGGACCACATCTAAAATTGGTCAGACCCTGGGAGCTGTAATAAAAAAAACAAACATATTTTCCAAACTCTGATCACAGGACCTCTTCCTCTTCCAAGGTGCAATCTCACCTTAATAATAATATTGATATAATTCACAAGGTTTGTTAGGATCAGTGTGATTATGTATACAATAGATTTAAAGCCAGTGTAGCGTCGTGGTCTGAATGTGGGACTCTAAGGATCCCAAGACACTAGGGTTCAAATTCCCATTCAGCCAGAGAAATTTTCTTGGGCAAGTTATGTTCCCTCAGTCTCAGAAGAAGGTAATGGTCACACCACTCTGAATAATCATTGCCAGGAAAACTCCATGACAGGTTCACTTTAATTGCCATAAGTCAGAAATGACTTGAAGGCACACAATAATAAGAAACCTTTAAAGCATTCTTATCTATTATCTGGAACCTGAACATCTGAAATATGCTACAGTATGTGAATCCTAAATATGAATGCTAAAAAGGGCAGAGGATTAGTTTGTACATATCTCTGAGATCAATACCTAATGCATAAGCCTACCTGTTGTGACCAATCACCCTCTGACTCACAGATGGTGACAGAATGCAAAGAAATGAACCTTCAAATAACAACATGTTGACTATGTCCTTTTTTAAAATTGAAAAGCTGTGAATGTTTTTTCCTTTCATTGTAATGCCATGGAGTTCTTTGAGCCCAGAAATGAAGCTTTTGATGAATAATCAGTGTTGCCAGTCGGCTGGAGGGAAGGAGGATTGGTTCATCTGCATATGCCAATTCATTGATATGTATGAAAATGTTAAAATTGCCCACTGCCTGATGCTGAGGCTGAGTTAAAATTAAAACAAAGTGAGGTGGCACTGGTGAGGTTTAATCTCAATGTGAGGGGAGGGGGAAAGGAGGCATGGAATTGACACAGCTCAGTGCAATGAATGTAATGTCTGATCAAAGGATACATTTCAGAGAATAGCATCTTGGACTAGATTTCTTGGATGCCTGATTGAAATCACCCTGCATAATTTACCCAAGTTGCAGGAATTGTTATTTTACCATCTCTGGTTTTTCCTCTGACCTCAATTGCCTGCAAAGAGGCAGTCATTTAGACACCTTCTTGAGAGCCATTAATAACATCATCAGTTTCTTTTCTCTTAGAGCATATTTATACTACAAAATTATATTGGTTTTATTCAGCTTTAACCTTCTCTAGAGAACCTTGGGAATTGTAATTTTGGTGAAGTTTTAACATGTCTTTTTGGAGTTTCTATGATATCATAAATGCCCTGGAATAATGACACTGAAGAGAACCACTACCCACCCATTATATGTCAAAGAGGACCACAGTCTTTAAGTTGTTGTCTCATAGTCTAGTTCAGAGATGGGCAATACACAGGATGGAAGCAGCTCTCAGGGCCCTTCCAGACATGCCCCAAATGTGGGACTTGTCAAATGATTCCTCAGGAAAACATGAATTAATTAAACACCTGGAAAAAATCAGGACCTTTATGTAGACTTTGTGGGGATTGATTACCAGGAGGACTGCATTCCTGGTTCTTTGGGCTCCATGAGCCCAAGGGAATGAAATGGCACCCCACCCTCCCATCCCAGCCCCCCATTTACCCCCCAAACCTTATCTAAGGGGGCTGAGCATGCAGCCAGGATTCTCAGGTAAGTTTCGGGGGTAAATGGGAGGCTGAGGGCTGGCAGCCCTCCCAAGTCAAGGTTGATCCAGGAGGGCATGTAGCCACTCCCCCCCAAAGGGAAAACCTAGAATTTGGGGTGGGTGTGGGGCCTGAATCCAGGAGGGAACTGGGATTAACTAATCCCAGTTCCTCCCAGAATTAGGTCCTGTGTGGATGGACCCTCTTAGCTTTAATGTTGCTGAGATTTCCTTCAGAGAAACATGCAATCCTGGTGTTCACCCCATGGGGAAAGGGGGATTAAAGTTTGATTTAGAGGAGCCAACATAGTGTAGTAGTTTGAGCATAGAACTGCAACTCAGGTTTTGATTTCATTCTTGGCCATGAAAATTTAGTGGAGATGGATCTACACTGCCATATAATCTAGTTCAAAGCAGATAATCTAGATTTTATATGGTAGTGGGAAGTCTGACTTGGCCACGGTAGTCCACGCTCTGGTTACATCCCGGATTGATTACTGCAATGCGCTCTACGTGGGGTTGCCCTTGAAGACTGCCCGGAAGCTTCAGATGGTCCAGCGCTCGGCAGCCAGGTTGCTAACGGGAGCGGCACTCAGGGAGCATACCACTCCTCTGCTGAGCCAGCTCCACTGGCTGCCAATCCGCTACCGGGCACAATTCAAGGTGCTGGCTTTAGCCTATAAAGCCCTAAACGGTTCTGGCCCCGCTTACCTCTCCGAACGCATCTCCACCTATGAACCGACTAGAACATTAAGATCGTCTGGGGAGGCCCTGCTCTCGATCCCACCTGCGTCACAGGCGCGCTTGGCAGGTACGAGAGACAGGGCCTTCTCAGTGGTGGCCCCTCGGCTATGGAATGCCTTACCGGCAGACATCAGACAGGCATCTTCGTTGCTGACGTTCCGGAGAATGGTTAAGACCTGGCTTTATGAGCAAGCGTTTGGTTAAGCAGTGCAACCAATCAAAGGAAGACGGTAAATGGAACATAGGAATGGCACAAGGATTATGAGAACGGATCTGATTTCAACTGAGGCGTTATGTTATGTTTGTTTTGTTGATTTGTCTTGTTGATTGTTAATTGTTGTGGATTAATGCTGTTGATCCTGTTTGTTGCATTGTTATGTTTTAATTGCACTGACACTGTTTGATAATTGTACCATGTAAACCGCATTGAGTCGCCTGTTTGGGCTGAAAAATGCGGTATAGAAATAAAGCAAATAAATAAATAAATAAATAGTGTAGATGGGGCCTGGGTGATCTTGGGCAAGTCTCAGTTCCAGAAAACCCCATGATTAGTGTTACCATTAGTCAGAAATAACTCGACACCTTCGAGTTATTTGCATATAATGCACATAATGTTATCAATCAATATGGATGTTATGGTTTGCCTATACTACTTTGTAAAAGGTAGAGGCATACCTCCTTGTGGAAAGGGTGGAGAATCTTTCGGACCCCAGATGTTTGGGACATTGATTTCTAGAAGCTGTGTGGTCAATTGTACAGGATTTGGAGATTGTAGTGCAAATCATCTGGAGAACCAAAGGTTCTCTGACCCAGTCTTAAATCACTTATCACAAGTAGATATATGTTCCTCCATTTCCTGACACATTTTTCTTTCCAGTGTTTGGAGCCCCATGCACCTCCCTTCTCCCATGGCCCTTACCCGTTGTTCCTGACAGGAGACAAAAGTCTGAAAACCAGGAGAGACTCCAAATCCCAACTGATGGATATAGGGTGGCTCATCCTGGCTGTGGATCTGTACCCGAATTCCAGCTTCAAATGATGTCTCATCTACATTGGGAAACAAAGATTCAATTGTCAGGCTGAATGAATCTATGCCCATGTAATACTATGAATCATAGAATCATACAGTTGGAAGAGACCACATGGGCTATCTTGTCCAACCCCCTGCCATGCAGGAAAAGCACAGTATCCCTGACAGATGGCCATCCAGCCTCTGTTTAAAGGCTTCCAAAGAAGGTGCTTTCACAACACTCTGAGGCAGAGAGTTCCACTGTTGAACAGCTCATACGGTCAGGAAGTTCTTCCTAATGTTCAGGTGGAATCTCCTTTCCTGTAATTTGAATACATTGCTCCGAGTCCTGATTTCACGGGCAGCAGAAAACAAATCTGATCCCTCTTCCTTATGACAGCCTATGGATATAACATATTCATGTTCTCCTTTGCCTTTATACATTGTTGTCCTTTCCAACCATTATGAAGGCAGCTTGTTCCTGCTTCATCAAGAGAACCTATTAGTTTTCAAATATTAAAAATCAATATTTCAGCGATTTAAAATATACTGTTCGGTTATTGCTACATATTAACAATGTTAAAAGATTACATGTACATGCCATCCAAGACCATGGTGTTTCCAAGCATGTTCAATGTACCTTTTTAATATTTTTCATCTCCATGTGCTTTTCCTTGTTTTTCTTTTATTTTGCGAGCACATTGAGTCCCATCTTGAGGGAAAGTCAGGATATAAATAAAACAATACAATACAATACAATACAATACACAACAGATTTTGATGTGTTTGAAGTGATGGTGCATGCAAATTGTTAATCATAATAACTATAATCGGATGGCAATATGTATTTCAGTTATGGATTCATAGCCAGTAGTTAGTGGACTCCAACTGTTTCATATTCAATGAAGAGTACATCATCCTTCAGCCTTTCTTACCATCAGGTGTATTGGGCAAAGGGAGTCTGTTCAGTTGCAGATCAGGGTGCAAAGAAGGTAAGGCTTCCAGCCCCTTCCACCAGTCAGTGAAACTGTTCCAATCAGAAGCAGGTTCCATGTTGCAATTCCTTTTTGCAGCTTTGCTTGCTGGCAGGAGGAGAGTTGGAAATGCCATCCTCCTTGCTCCCCCATAGGCAGCAAAACTGGCCCTCTGTGCCCAATGTGGATGCTGGCTGTTATGATGGGCCAGGTGGGATAAATCCAGAGATGCTACTTGCTTACACATATGTAACTGCATAGCCAATGTAGAGGATATCTTTAGTTGGGTTTTTAAATATAATATATAATAATTTTAGAAATGCTTGGAAAGGGAGAGAGGTACGGCTATTTTTATTGAAGTATCATATTTCTTCAATTGTTGAACAGGGTGTATAGTTTTTACTATTAATTTCTACTGGATATATTCTGATCATATTTAGTTAACTATGACATTACCCCCAGGTAGCTATCCAGCTGACAGCCCATTTGCTTTAGAGTCTAGACCAGGCCTCTTCAACCAGAAGCCCTCTGGGTATTTTGGACTTCAGCTCCCAGAATTCCTGACAACTGAACAAGATGACAAGGGCTCCTGAGAGTTGTAGGCCTAAAAAAACTTGAAAGGCCACAAGTTGAAGAGGTCTGGCCTAGACAATTATATCTATGATCCATATCAGAGGGAACAGCGTAGTAAGAGAGAGGACTGGGTAAAGCAGTTTAATGGTACAGATCAGAGGTCCTGAAAAATGACTCCAGAGCACCCTCCCTTTGGCTTCCACCCAGTACCATTCCCGTTCTTACTGGTCTCTCTCCAGATGGGCAGATACTCCTCCTGCTGAATGTCCAACATGATTTCCAGCCCATTGCCCATCCCGCTCTGGCGAGTCACCCGTGGTTTATTTCGGTCGCCGTTGAATGTGTAGCATTTCCCATAGCGTGTGTAGACCTGTGAAGAGAGGGCAGATTAGAGGGAATTATCAAGCCCAAAACTGTATCAAATAATATTCATGCCAATGGTGCTGGAAGGAACAGGAAGGCTGCCCACTCTTCTCTGCCAGGTTCCTGGCCTAAAGTTGGAATAATCATCTCTCAGCTTTTCGTGCTCTTGGCTCATCCATCCATTCTGACAACATAGCTTTTTGACCAATCCTTATGGCTGGCAAAGTTTACATTACTCCTATCAGTGCCATCTAGTATGGCCAATGAAGGCACTTTGAGAACTGTTATTTAAAATAACACCCAGAGGGACAAAGCCCAATCTATACATATTAAGCTTCCCAGCCCAATCTATACATATTAAGTATTGAGAAATGCAAGAGAAGGGATGAGTCTGAACTCATGTCCTATTGCCAGGCTTCCCAAAAGTCATTTGGTGGGCTACTAGATGCTGGTCTAAATAGGCCCTTGCTCTTATCCAGCAGGGCACTTTCTATGTGTCTTATACAATTCATCAGGTTGTTTCTCCAACTGCTTCAAATACATCAAGGGAAAACCTCCTCTGCATAGTAGAGGTGGATATAAAAATCTTGATCCAAGTCAGAGAGGAGCAAGACTGTATAGCTCAAAGGTTGGAGGAGATGCATTTACCTGAAAAGGAGCCTGCATTTCTCAGAGCGTTAGATGACATGCCTGGTTGCTAGGCTTCCCAGAGGCATCTACTTGGGCAATGTGAGAAAGCCAATATTGGAAAAGCCAGGCTTTCAGTTGGAACCAGCAAGTATCCTCTTATGATTTTATGTCAAACGCCATGTAGCATGAAATCTCGGACATTTCAAGTATATGGAGAAAAGATATCAACTCCTTAAAAATCAGGGAGTGGTGGATAGGGGAAAAAAGAGATGAGAAAAATACAGCAGTCTGCAAAATCACTTCTAATACAGGTTAAAATGAAATGGACATTAGCAAGATAAGAACAGATATGAAATATCTAGGAGGTGGTCTTCTACAAACCGCACTGAAGACATCCATCCACACCCAGAATGCTGAAAAAAATCCAGCTGCTCCCCCCCACCCCTCGCCACCCAGAGAAATGATTTCCCCATTTGCGGTCACTAGATACACACACTACTCTGACCATCATAGTCCAAGCATCTTAAAACCACAAACTACTTCCAATTTATATCAAAAACAAACAAGGAGATTATTAAGGGAGAAATCAAGTACAGCCAGAGTTGAGACACTAGGGAAGAAGCAATATCGACTGCTAAGAAAACAAAACTGAAGTGGAAGCTGTTACCTATATTTCAACGCTTTTGAAAAATCAAACCCAGCTCTCTTACCAGCCTCCAGATCCACATTTAGATTTCTTACAGTCCCAATCCACTGCAGTGGGACACATTACTTCTCAGTGAAAAATAGCCCTCAATTTCTTTCAAACCTTTTGTTTTCCCCTCACATGCCATGCAATCCTTCCCCTCCTCCCAAACCATCTTGTTCAGGATTGATCCATAGATTTCACCCGCCTTCTCTGTGATCAGCTAAAACCTCTTAAAGAAAAAAAACGCGAGCAGGGCATCAAATTATCAGGTAGTAGAATACCACCTTGCAGTGTGTCTTCAGGTCATTTCAGACTTATGGCGGCTTTATCATGGGATTCTCTTAGCAAGATTTGTTCAGAAGGGGTTTGCCCTTGCTTTCTTCTGAGGCTGAGAGTGTGTGACTTGCCCAAGATCACTCAGTGGTTTCCATAGCTGAGTATGGATTTGAACCTGGTCTCCCAGTTTTCTAAGTCAACACTCAAACCATCACATCACATTGACTCTCTTCCCGAGCCTATGGTCAGATGCAAATCCATGGATATTTGCTGGGTGAGGCAGATCAATACCTCCACCACAGTCAACTACATAGTACTCCAAATTCATCAGTATATTTTGAGCTGGCAATCCCACAAGTGCCTCTCGTCTCTCTTAGTGACAAGAACAGTTCAATAATACGAAACTAAATAAAATTTGCTATGCCTTTGTAACACTTAAAGCTATCTGCTTGAGATGACTGCCTCATTCTAATAGTACGTCCAGCATACTTGTTGTTTGAGATTTCTCTACTGAAGAAGTCAACTTATTTGGATGTCCCAATCACCTGGAAACTGATGTATGAGCAATTTTTTTCACATATAGGATTTTTAATTACACCACACAATTGTTACAATAATCTTAGATTAGTACCAAGTGACTCAAGGTAGCAGATGCCTCTATGGCAACCATATTCTTGTGGCTATATTTGTCATTAAGCTCAACTGCCCAAATTTGTAGCCAATAGTCTGAGAATCAAGGAATATGAGTTATGTATTAAGTAGTTTATTTGTCAGAGGGAGCAATGTTGTCTCTCTGCAGGATACAAGGGAGCTGAATTTGGAAGGTTTTGGAGTATCAAAGGGAAGGACACTGTATAGCTTTGGAAACTTCTGGACTTCCTCTCACAGCAATATGGCTACTGACCATGGTGGCTGAAAAATCCCGGCAGCCATCTTCTGAAAGCTAACTTTTCCAGGCTCTAGGCCAGTGATACAAGGAGAACAACAGCTTCTCTGGCCATGTTTTCCTACTATCTTATAGGGTGCAGTTTGCTTCTTGTGTTTGTACTTTTAAGGAATTTTATTTGTGAAGTCATTCATTAAAATATAATAATTCCCTCCCCAAGGTACTGCTAATTATTAGTGAGAATCAAGAAGGCATCAAAACACTATAAAACAATATCCTAGGAAAATCATCTACACGTGAAAACATGATACACTATCATGCACAATCCCCCTTGCAGAATAGTAGCACTGTACAACATACATCAGAGAATAGGTCAGGTTGTGCAGTATGCAGCCACAATGCACAGCATGACTATATGTACAACTCTGCTTCTTCTGCTGTCAACAGAATATATCTGTTGTGCTATGGAAAAATAATTTGCCCCACATGAGTAGCATAACTTACATATCTTTAAGAACTGCCAGCAAGAGTAAAATAATCCTACAACACAAACACAGGTATGAAACAGAGCTTCAAGGAGTAACTAGGCTGTTTTCCTATGCTGCTACACCTATCACACCATCTTATTTCCTCCACCCCCCAAACTAGTTACAGAATGGAAGCCACTCACAGGGGTGAAGTCTTGGGGCCCACAGGGTTTGCCCTGGAAGTGACACTCCAGCAGCATGTCCTCAATCTGATGGCCCAGGCGATGGAAGAAGCTCTCCATTGTATGCGGAGAAAGTCGAGGTGGCAGGAATCGCGTATAGTTGCCCAGGTGTATGAGCCAGGGGCGTTGCTCTTCAGGCAGCTCTTCCAGGACACTGGGGAGCAGGGAGCGGTTCTCATAGGTCAGCCCCAGCCAGTGCCCAACGGAGTACAGATCAGGCCTTGTGAGCTGGAGGAAGCGAACTGGGTTGTGGTTGCAGAAGGTGACTGCAGGGAAGTGCATCAGGGGGTCCCAAAGCATGTGGGCTTTGGTGTGGACTGGCTTAGAGCGCAGGTATTGCATCCGATTGGCTGACCATGTGCACAGCAGCCCCACAGAAGCCAAGAAGGCTCCACTCCAGAGGAGGCGCTGGGGCCAAGACTGCTGGCGGGAGCCCATGTAGTGCAGCCCATGCAGCTTGGTCACACGCAGGAAGCGGGAGGTCGCTTGTGCCAGGGAGCCATCCAAATGGGGCCGAGGAGGAGACCCATCTGGGCAACAGGAAAGGGGCATCTTCTCAACCACAAAGGGATCCCCAGTTCAACCGATGTCGTGGCAGAGCCCAGAGGCAAGGCGTCCTAGATCTTTCCTGGGGCTCCACCTAAGGGGAACTGAGATTCTCATCTGCAATGTTTTGCTTTCTGCAGGGAGCCCACAGTCCCCTCCACCACGGTGTGCCAATTGTGTCATTTACCTCTAGCTGCTGTGTGATTTGCAATAGGAGGAGCAAACCCTTCCCAACATTAGCACCTTCCCCCCAGTGCCCTTAATTTTTCAAACCCCCTTTAAACAAATTTCCTGTGACGAAACCTGATATGACATACCCCTCAGCTCCCTCAGTATGTCTCCCCTTCCCCACCTCCTTTTATTTAGGGCCCAGCATATCCCAAATTTTATGTTTCATTTGCCCACCCAAATCCTGTACGCCCACATCACAGCCCATAGCACCATTTAATCAATATTGCCTCCAACATGCAGGGTTGGAAGATGTTTACAGTGTTCAAAGGGAAGCACTGTCAGTTCTTTGCAGACATCACAGGTACTGTGGCAGCCCTGAAGACCTTGCTTGTTAGTGTTAAGGAGTGACAACAGTATAACAGTGTGTTCTCTCTGCCTCCCAGCCCTCAGCAGCACAGCCAATAGGAGGCTTTTGCTAGGAAAAGCTTTAGGAGCCTAAAATTCCTGCTGTTTGTTTAACTCCACAGCCCATGGGCGGGTGCTTGTGGTGCAGTTCAGAGAAATAGCAACTTGTACCATCCTCACGTGACGGCTATAGAATGCTACACTCTGTGGCTTTGATGTGTGCTGCCTGGGACAGGATGTGTCATATTGGCACTAAAATAAAACTGCTGTTTTATTTTGGGACGATTGTCTCGATGGTCTTTCTGTGCTATTATCATCTTGCCATTGTTGAGGACACAAATTGGTATTATAGTAATGTTGAAATAGTATAATTGCAAAATGAGCTAGCCCATGAAAGCTTACACTATACACAAACGTACAATTGTGAAGTGAGTTAAATTCCATGAAAGCTTATACTGTAAACCAATGTACACACACCCAAACACACGAACGTTTGCTTTTATGATGGGGGACAATTTTGAATGTATAGGGAGCTTTGCATTTTCATAATAGGGAATCATTTTGTTGTTGTTGTTCTTGTTTTCAGACTAAATTCTCTCCCCATATCATACCCGCACAGCTCTTCAGAAGGGGACATGAGAGAAGCCTACTTGCAGGATTGCAAGATATCCGGGCGTCCCCTGGGCAACGCCTTCGTAGACGGCTGATTCTCTCACTCCAGAAGTGACCAGAAGTGACTTGCAGCATGCAAGCAAGCAAGCAAAACAACCAACAGACCTTTTCAGGACCAATCATGACAATAATCTCAATCAACATTGAAGGCATGTCAGCTGCCAAAGAACAACTGCTCTATGAACTGTGCCAAGATAAGAAATGTGATGTGCTGTGTGTTCATGAAACACACAGGGATGAACAACAGAAACGACCAAAAGTTCCAGGAATGGTCTTAGTAGTGGAAAGACAACATGCACAGTATAGAAGCACTGTCTTTGTCAAATCAGGCCTCCAAGTCAGCAATGCCCACAACACTGAAGAAAACAATATAGAGGTTATAACAGTAGAGCTTAATAACATCACCATCACCTCTGTGTACAATATTTAATTCCCTGACACGACCAAAAAAAAAAGCTCTTCAGAGTTTGGGAGACAGACCATCATACTCCACTTCTATTTAAGTCAGCTGGGAAGAGAATTCCCACTTTACGTATACTGAGCTATACTGTTCTCAGGAGCTGAGCTTGGGAAATTAACTCCTGAACTACAATTCCCACAATCCCTATGGCTGGGGCCTCTGAGAGATGTAGTCCAAAAGAGCACTTTTTCAAGCTCTGCTATGGCGAATGTCATGCCTGGAAGGAGGTGGATTTCTCTTTTTGCATTAAGCAATCACTCAGGCAGGAGGGGTTTTCCTGGGAGCAAGTAGTTTATCACATTATCATCACCAACCCTCCCATCCACCTGGCAGAGATATTCATTAGGCACTTGCTCAAGGCTCTGATATTCCCTCCATAGATTGGAGGTGGGAGATCTCCAGGGCCCTATTCACTCATTCAGACAGACTGTTGAATCAACACTCGAAAAAGGGAGTGTATTAGCTCTGCCAGTTCCGCATGTGGACATTGGTGAGCCAGAACAGGAGACCTTCCATGGCACAAGGGCGCCTTTTCCCTATCTAAGTATAGCTCTGATTGCAATACAGAGTCTCTTGTTGCAGCATAGGTTACTCTTCAGAGGGTAGTCTCCATTTCCACACTCTCCCCCATACTTCTCCCTTATGTTCTGTTGAAGTCACAATTTTCTCGCATAAGAAGTTCTTGAAAGCACCCAAAAGCCATTGGCATTACCTGGATTTTAGATTTTGTCAAGACTGGTCATGCAGACTTCACTCACAAATATGGTGTCCCTTTCATGTGCAGTAAGGAATACTGAGCAGACTGGCTTAGCACAATTTGCATCTCACTTGTATTGCTCCCCTCCCCCATACAAAGTATATAAAACAAAGTATACAAAACCTAACTGGACTTGTAGTCGTGTTCCTTACTGCACATGAGAGAAGTATAGTGCAGGAGGTACAAACAGCACATCCAAGAACATAATAGTCTGCTTCTCTAGTACCTTTTGCCTCTTTCCTGGCCTTCAGTGTTTCCTACCAGAGGTGTGTTCCTCACTCTACTCTCTGTACCACAGGAAAGCCAATAATTCGGTTAAGATGGCGACACGCTAACAGCAACCTTTCCACTCGGGCAGGACAAGAACTTTCAATCCAAGCTAAATCGAAGCTGTTCATCCCCATCCTGACTTCCCTTTATAGGCACCTTGATCGGCAACGCCTCAGGACCCCGAAGGGGGCCTTGGGGGGCTGACTGGTGAGGAGTCCAGGGAGGAAGGAGGAAAAGAGGGAAAGGAAGGAGGTAGAGCGAAGGCCGTCGCCATTACCACCATTACCACCATTCCGGCCTGAAGACGCTCCCTCCTAAGTCGCTTCGTGGACCTATTCGGGTTGCTGGACTCACCAAATCCACCAACTGCCAACTCGCTGCTGCTGCGGCCTGAAAGGGAGACCAGGACGACCGTGCTGTGGTGATCGGTGAGCTGTAGACTCTGGCCGCCCCCCCCCCTTCGGGACACCGTGAAGGGGCGAGTTGCTGCTGCCGGTTTGTATCGCTGCTGCCGAGACCGCCGCAGTCGAGCGCTGGGCCTGCATTATCATCGAGGCCACCGCTGCAGCCGCCGCCGCTGCTGTCGCGGCTGCTACTGAAGTTCTGCGTCCCATCCCCTCCTTCGGGGCTGATGGAGGGAGGGAAGAGCAAGGGAGAGAAGAATCGGGCCTGCTAATCCCCATTGTGCCGGGCCCCTCCTCCCGACGTTCCAGGGGAAGAAGAGAAGAGAAGGAAGCAAGGCCCAGCGGCTTCATTGGGCCTGCTAGGCCCCATCGCATCGCGCTCCCCCTTCCCTCTCGCCGATACAGGAGAGGGAGAGAAAGAATCAAGGAAGCATCTATTCCTGCAGGTTTCTCGCAGCACGGCCCGCTGTGGCTCCTTTGCGATCAGGTAGAGCTCTAGCGCGAGGCCTGTGCAGCGGGCCCTCTGTTGCCTCCGCGTTACCATCCTGGCGGAGGCTCCAGGGGCGGCCTGTGTGAGTTTCCCGGTGCATCATTGGGCTGTGATCCCTCCATGCCTCTTTGACGCCACCTCTACTATCCCCACTCCTGACGGAGGTTTGGGAAGCAGACCTCCCCTCCCCCCGTGGGCCCATTGCTGCCTGCCCTGCTGAAAGAACTTGACCAACGCCAGGCAGCAGAAGGGAGAATCCCTGATAATTAACAGCTACCGGACCACTATCCCCGGTTGTCTGCCAGCACCCCAGAACTGGGACTAATCCGTCACCACCGCACGAAATTCCATCAGCGTGCCCGGTAATCCACCAACTCCCGGAAGATTGGGCCTGACTATTGTGACCTAATTACTGCCACCTTTTGGCATCTCTCTATTCCAATTTTGGATAAATTGTGTTGAACGTCGTTAACCTGTCTGTGTTGACTCTTGACTTGCAGTCCATTTTTTCTGATTGTGTTGATCATCTCCGATTGTACTGACCATTGTCTTTAATTGTGTCAATCATTCTATCTGTGCTGACCTCCTTTGATTGTGCTGACCATCCTGATTGTGTGATTACCTTTTCCAACTGTGTTTACCAATTCAGAGTGGTCGTGCGGGGTACCTCATTTTTTGTGTGACTCTAGCACTTTATTCTATTAGCACTTTAAATTACTACCTCAGTGGCACTTTAACTATCTTTAGCACTTTAATCGATTCAATCCATCTAGCGTTGAATTAACCCTCCATGACGCACTTCATTTAGCACTTTAGAGTCATTTGACAAGCCATTGCACTTTAATTACTCATACCACCGTGTATGTTGTGTGTGTGTATGTTGATATAATTTTCCATCTGCACTTTAAGAACCTTAACGAACTCCTTGACTGTGTTTAACAGCTATTATTCATGTCACTATCCATTCCCTGGCATCTGTTAATCTGGCTGCTAATTGTTTTTGGTGGAGAAAGGGAACGGAGTAGCCCAGAGGGACCCGAGTATAACACAATAGGAACGGGAAATGACTGGAAAGCGAAGCCAGGGCAATCTGAAGCTGTGACATATCAAACAGTCAGCAATGAATTATGGGTTGTTGCCACGGCTGTTGAAGGTGTCATGGAGGAGGGAGAGGCTTCCGTTAACCGGGGAGCCCCCATAGAAGTTGTGGTGGGGAGGGGGAGATATGGGAAAGGGAGACCTTTAATTCGGCCTAGGGAACGCGGAACAACATTAGTAATCCCAAATCGGTCTCCTGATACGGTAAGTTGGTGTAACCAGGATGGCGGCCCCTCCGGATTGAAAGTGGTGCTGTTGAACGCCAGATCTGTCAATGGTAAAACAACTTTCATCCAGGATTTAATCCTGGATGAACGGGCAGATCTGGCGTGCATCACAGAGACCTGGTTGGACGA